TGTCAATTTTTGCGAGATGCGTATGAGCCTATTTTTCGGGCCCAGGCGAGCGTCGATGCCTTTTTACCTGGAAAGCTCTATATGCAAAATGTCACATCTACTATCCTTCCTCTACCTTCACTGAAAATGTCAAGTCGATATCTTCAGTCGTTTAGGAGGAGATCTCAGGACAAGCCGACCCTCTAAAAATCAGTAAATCGTCCATATCTCACGACCGGAAGTGACATCATCAACGACGAAAATTTCCGACAAGGTTCAGATAAATATCTATCAGATCTGAAAGTTTGGCGAAAATCGGGCGAGCCGTTTCCGAGAAATTGCGTGCACAAAATCGGTAAGAAAAATAATAATAATAGGGAAAAAGAAACCGAACGAAAACAATAAGGTCTTCCGTTGGAGACGGAAGACCTTAATAATAATAATAATAATAATAAGAAACACAGTAAAAACAATATGTTCCCCAACTTCGTTTGGGGAACATAACTAAGCACATAGTTATGATGAGCAAGATTGCCTCTTCCAGATTTGTAAATTTCATGGCCCCAGGGTCAGGGGTTCTGTGTTAGGGCGAGGCTCTATAGATTATATAGTGAAAATGCATTATTTCTTTGAAAATCTTCTTCTCTGCTCCTGGTTATTAGATACACTAAGCACATAGTTATGATGAGCAAGAGTGCCTCTTCCAGATTTGTGAATTTTATGGCCCCAGGGTCAGAGGCTCTGGTGTTAGGGCGGGGCTCTATAGATTATATAGTGAAAATGCATTATTTCTTTGAAAATCTTCTTCTCTGCTCCTGGGTATTAGATAAACTAACTAAGCACATAGTTATGATGAGTAAGAGAGTGCCTCTTCCAAAATTGTGAATTTTATGGCCCCAGGGTCAGGGGTTCTGGTGTTAAGTCGGGGCTCTATTGATTACATAGTAAAAATACATTTATTCTTTGTAAATATTTTTCTTTGCTTCCGGGTTTTAAGCCAATGACCCAAGTATATATATATATATATATATATATATATATATATATATATATATATATATATATATATATATATGATGAAGAAAGGTGCATCTAGCAAAGTTGTTTTTAAGGTTTCGTCAAAGGTCAACATGTCTAAAAAATTATTTTTACAATTGCTCCAAAACTATGTGTGGTATGAAGTCAAAACGTTTACATTTTGTAAATATATCACTAATTAATAGATAGAAAGTATTACTTGATAACAAATATTTTTAAAAAGATATTTTTTGAGAAAAATTGTATCAGAAAATGTGCATATTTTAAAAAAAATGTACCTGCTTAATTCTGTCCTTTTTGTGAAAACCAACATTGTAGAAATAATATATGTTTATCATTGAAGGGCAAGTTGGACGTGAATGGTCTCTGAAAGGCTGTTATTGAAAGCATGACATGTATAAAGACAAGACCCCAAAAGAATCTGCCATTTGCAGTGTACTTTCACTTTCAAGTCTTAACATTTGGACAAAATAAACAGGGAAAACAACTTTCCAGAGGCTATCCAAGTCCAACTTGCCCTTCATTGATAAATATATTTTGTTTCTGCAATGATGGTTTTCACTAAAAGCATGGAATTAATTAGGTGTTTTTTTTGGAAAATATATGCATTTTTAAGTAGAATTTTGCTCAATTAATATTATTCCAAGCATTTTTTTTATCAAGTGATACTTTCTATCTGTTAATCAATAAATAATTTATAAACTGTAAAAGTTTTACCTTTATGCCTTACATAGTTTTGGCGCTATTGTAAAAATAAATCTTGGACATGTTGACCTTTGACGAAACCTTAATGCCCCCAGGGTCAAAGGGGGGGGTTGGTTACATAGCCTGAAAATAAATTAATGCTTTGAAATCTGCTCTTTGGTATAAATCAACCATTTTATGATAAAATTTGCAAAATTTTGGAATATTTGGCCCTAGGGTCAGTGGTTCCTTTGGGATGAGGTGCACAACTGGTTATAAAGTGGAAGTGCATTTTCTCTATGTTACTCTGATCTACCTCTGGGTATTAAGTAAATAGAGTAAGCATTCTAAGTTAATAATTATGATAAGCAATGGTGCCTCTTTCAAAATTGTAAATTGTGAATTTCATGGCCTCCGGTTTAAACACGAACCAAATTTAATTGTTTGAAAGTTGTTACACATTACTCAGGTGACCTATAAGGCCCGTGGACCTCTTGTTTTTTTTCTGGCAAAAAATTGAAAAAAATATAACTGTAAAGGGCTTTGGCTTTTAATAATAATTCAAATACCTTCTAGGTATAGTGTCCCGGTAGCTTCATTGGTTTGTCGCGGATTCGAGCCACAAAGAAGCAGCACTTTAGGTTCGAATACAGTAATTTAAAAAAAAATTTTTTTTTTTGTTTTCAAATTTTGATTTAGTCTAGTAAAAATTACTCTTTGAATAAATTTGCAAAGTATGTGTACTATAAATCAATTTACATTGTTTTATTTTTCAACGCGTTCACATTTTGTCATTTATAGTGCTAATATATGCACCTGACTTTGCCTCTATTATAAAACGGTCAAAACGGTCAAATTTAATCTCCCTGGTACCATCATTTAGTGATATTGTCTTCTTGATTCTGTGAAAATTTCATTAATCTTTAAATACAAGAAATATGAGAATAATCCTACCTTAATTAAACAAAATTGTTTACCTACTAGAGGTACATGTACTGTGAGCACTGAGCTCACTAAATGATACCCCCACCTCCCATATGTATAAAATGGCAGTGTCCATGTTTTGCTATTGGAAACCCAAAATATGTGTCGGATCAAAAAGTAAAATAGGAGATAAGAGATGGGTACCCAAAAGCGTAACAGAAGGACGGAAGGACGGACGGACAACGATTACAATATGCCCTCCCACTTTTCAAGCGTGGGTAAAATAAACAAACATAAGACAGAAATTAATTCCCACGAAGTTTCCAAGTTCATTGTATAAGATATGTGGACAACATGGTGCTTGGGCACTTAAACCTGAATTATAATGTTTCGTGTCAATGATTCCTGTCGACTGTCTATTTAATTGTCTATTTCCAACATAAATCAATTACATAACTTTATTTCCCGTATTGACTTCATCCTCTGAAACCATTTTTAGACTCGCGTAGTGAGATGTTCATCTTTACGTCGCGGGTTCGAATCCACAGCGGAACGAAGAGATCGGTCCTTCGGATGAGACCGATAGGTTCTATAGATATTGATGGCATTAGTCAGGCAAGCTTTTTGAAAAGCTGTTACTTGTGTCCCTATTTATGTTTATCTTTAATTTGTTAGGTACGAGCACTTAAACTTTCTAAAGTAGGCAGTACTTCAGAGTAAGCTCCCTTGGTGGTACTAGAAGTTAAAAACAACATCCAATCGAAAAAAAGAAATCTGTGAGCAAATGCTCACAAGTAATACCGCCGCTATGATATGAATAAACACTATCAATATTCACAAGTTCAATTACAGGCGAATGCACAAAAATATATGAAGTTGACATCAGATTCATATCAAAATTAATCCCACCATATAGCATGCCTCGACAAAGAGTGTATTAAAATTTCAATCATCTGCTATGTATACTTGATTAGAAAATTGCAGCGAAAATTTGTTATGTATGAAAGGGACAGACGCACAGACAAACAGAAAATGACATCGGATTAGAACAAAAATGTATCACACCGAATTTTCAAACATCTGCGATGAGAAGTTGCTAAGAAACTGCAACGAAAATGTAATATGTATGAAACGGACAGACAGAGAAACAGGAAGTTGACATCCAAAATGTATCCCACTCTATGGCATGCCCCAGAGAAGATTGTTGTAAATTTTCAAGCATCTGCGATGAGTGCGACGAAAATTTGCTATGTATGAAACGGACAGACGCAGAGACAAACAGGAAGTTGACATCAGATTTGAACAAAAAAAAATCCCACCGTATGGCATGCCTCAGAGAAAAATGTTGTACGGACGGACAGACAGACACACAAGGGTAAAACAGTATACCCACCCTCTCTTTCGGAGCGGGGTTATAAAACAGAAAATGACAATGATATATTAACGTTATATTCAAGATGAAATCTATCGTTCCTCTTCGGGAAAATAAATCGCCCTAAATTTTGACTTTCCCTTTAAATCTTCCTGTTTTAATAACTATATATATTTTATAAGAAAGGAAACATTTTTAATCCATTTTCAAATTCTTTTGAGGAGTTCACTTATGGAATTACTTATTTAAGTGTAAGAGAAAATATATCATTTTAAATTGATGAGACTAATGTAATTACCGAGTTGCATGACATTTTCGTTTCGTTATATCTTATTTTAGTTCACTTTATGTCCTCTGTTAAATTGATTATTTTAAAACCGTTTCTTTTGCCTTAAGAAATGAGAGGTCTTGTCTTCATCTTTTTGGTGTATGTTTTTTTGATTGATTGATTGCATACGTTTAACGTCTCTCTCTCTCTCTCTCTCTCTCTCTCTCTCTCTCTCGAGAATTTTAATTTATATAAAGACGCCACCACCTGCCGATGGAGAGCTGCAAACTTTGTACAATGTTCAGCACTTAGGGGCATTGAGCAGGGAGTGATCTTTTTCGTTCCGGTACCTACTGCGACACGGTCCCTCTGTTAGATTCGAAACCGCGACGCAATGAATAATGCCTTGCTTTGCGACTCTAGAGCACTCTAACCACTGCGCTTCGCGGGCGACTTTTGGTGTATGATTTCCAAATTTTCCAGATTTTATATCTTTCTGCTCCAAAGAACATGGAAATTTTGTTTACTTATGTAAGTGTTTCGATTTGCTGTTCACTAAAAAAAAACTCGTGTTTAAAAATGAAGATAATTGGAGTAGAGATATTTTGAGTTAAGATAATTAGTTTTTAATAGATCTTTTAGGCACCCCTTTCCGCAACAATTCATTTTCAGAATTTACTGACCAAAAATATTTCAGAAAAACTAGTACTCGTTGTTTACAGAGCAAGTCAAGTTGGATATTTTTCTTTTTTCTCTTCACAGATGAAATAAAAGCAGGCACATGTACATGTATCTTGAAGTGTATGAAAAATAAACAAGTTTTTCTTAATAAATGGATTTCCTATGACTGTATGTAAAAATGAAATAATTGAAAGTAATTTTTTAATTTATTTTTTGCAAATTTAAGTAACTCGACTTTAATAAGATCCATATAAATATCAATTTCCCCCTTATTCTTCGTATATACTGCACAACGTTACAGCAAAAAGTGGTAAATATAAAATTAATACAATGACGTGTATATTATACGAAACCCAAAATTTATTTTAAATTAATATACTAAAATTAGTTTTAATTATTTTTAGGTTGACGAAAAATAACGGAAAACAACTAGTGTAAAATGGCAGAAAACAAGTTTGAGCAGGTATACTAATCATCATAACCTTTATCCTTTACATTAAATTGTCATTGAAAATATTTTTAAAACACTGTTCATATGCTAATTTTTATCTCAAACGTTGCCAAAAATAAAATTTAACTGCGAATTTCTTTCTTACGTTGAGCTCAAAAATACAATAAAAGACATTTTACAAAACAGATCTCGGAAAACTTATGACGGGTAAGAAATGTGTACCTTAACTGCGATATAAAAATAACGATGATATCTGTATTAAACGCATATATCCTTTCATCTATTCCTTGTAGAGGTGTGAGCACGAGTATTGCACGATGGGTGACACCAACCAGTATGAAGTTCTGGTAAAATCACTACAAAAAATGGGTTTTCAATAGAACTTTTGTTTTCAAAGAACTAAATATATAAACATGTAATATTCCTTTATATCATTAATTGTTGTCCTAAAAATTGTATTCGACGAGGAACTTCATACTTAAATCAGAAATCTACTTAAATGACTTGCTTTCTTTGATTTTTTTATTGTTTGCCAAAAAATATTAGTAAAGGTGCCGGGACAAAAAATGTTTTTCTTCAAATTTTCGGTTTAATATCATGACTTGTATGTTGCTATATCATTTCAAACGGAAATATAATAGCTTATTCTATCTAGAAACTTTTGAAACTATGATTTTCTGGACAAGTTTGATTGTCACCTCCTTGCATGTTCAGATTTGTTTAATTATTACTTCAGAAAAGTAGAAATTCTGTAGCGTTTAACAGGTCGGAGAGAATACTCGAAATCGGGTATTATCCGTGAAATTGCGTATAATACCCGATATTAGGGTATCGTTGAATCTGCGAAATCGGGTATTCCATGCAACTTTCTATTAAAAACTAAAGAATAAAGCAAAGTCGCATTATGCCAGTTACTGTTACTTGTACATCACTATCTTGTGGATTTATTTTTATTAAACCTAATTTATCTGGTTGTCAGATAAGTTTAAAATCACACGACAAACACTGATGGGGTAAGAAAGAGGACACAATGGCGTTATTATTTTTCAATATAATTTCTAAAAACAAATATCTTCTCTTAGTTTGTCTTTATTTCCCATTTAAATATTCCATATACTTAATTTTCTAATTTGTGCACTATTCACAAAATGTGAAACTTGAAGGAAATTAAACGACTAACACCGTGTTATGTATTTTTACTGAAAAATGTATGGCGTCCTTTTCACGTGAAATATAACTTATTCCCAACAGTTAGAGAGTAGAGTATAAGCGAGTCATAATTGTATATATCTGCCATAATATAATACCAACGTTATTATAAAGAAGAAAATAAAATAAGATTAAATAAATACCAACAGGAAAACAGGTTGAAATTAGCTAATTGAAGGTGAGTAACTTTTTAAAAGTCAATTTATCATGAGAATTTTTATTTAAAGACATCGTAAATTTTTTTGTTGCATTTTAATCGATACAAGATATGCTATTTTACCTTTATTTTATGCATTTGTGTGAAAAATTGGAGGTAGAAGTCATGTGAAGAGAATTTTCTTTTTGTGTGTGTGTGTGTGTGGGGGGGGGGGGGGTTATAAATAAAAGTCAAATGTGTACATATTTTCATGAGCTTATAATACATTGAATTTCTCATTATAGATCTAGGTACAGTCATATTCAAATATGAATTACATAGTCAAGTTTTCATATTTCTTCTAGTTTGTACGTTTATGAACATGTTAATGAACAATCTTAAATAATGGAGTGTTCAATTGCGCCTTGGAACCTCTTGTCTTACTTTTTGGGAATATAATTCCTCATCGGACATTAAAATTTCATAAAAATTGCAGTCACTTCCTTACTTTATTAATAAATATACTATTTGATAGACAGGGTATAGATTAAACCTTCTGTTGACTATTTTACGCTTTTTTGTCGTTATCTTAAAACCTCATTATAATACAATGCACTAATTGATTGGTTCTAGACAATATGTCATTGTTTTCTTTTAGATATTTTATTTGTGATACTTATTACTCAAGCAATAACTATTCCTACAAGTAACTAAAATTCATATTTATTTTTTAACACCTAATACTCATCTTTAATGAAAAAATGTAACATATTTTGTTGAATAAATCTTCCATACAATTAAAAATATATAACCGAATTTAACCGACAGTGACATTCAAAGACATATAGCAAAAAAAAATTAACATTTAATTCAATGATTGCGAAAGGAGAGGTCTCTTGGACACATGCAAAACACGGTCGAGGTTGTTTTGTCAGAGGAGGTCAAGCCCCCCCCCCCCCCCCCCTTTGAAGGCATCAAGAAATGGTAAAATATTGAAGACTTAGCTCAATTATACGATCAACAGTTATGTTCTCTCATAAGCTGTATTTCTGAAGCTATCACTGTCTCTGCTAAAATGTTGAAGACATATTCTGCAAATATGTATTAATGATTAAAAAAAAAGATTTTAAAAAAAGAGAAAGAGGTGGTTTTTAGCCAAAATTTTAGACATTTTCATCATTATGTATACATTATTTATACATTTATATATAAATTTGATTTTATGCACAAGAAAAATGTGAAAGTAATTAATGACGCATGATTAGATACATGTACGATAGACAATCCTTTGTTTTTACCTGGCGTTATATCTTTTGTGTGAAATGTGTTTCTGTATACATGTAATTTGATTAATTTACAAATTGTTCATGTTTGTTGTGTTGATGTGGAATTATTATACACTGTAAATTCCCGGATTCTGATACTTCTGATACTTTACAATTCTGTTGTGTTGGGAATGAACACAAGAAAAATGCATATTAACCTTCAACATTATGAAAAATTTAAAACAAATTAAACACCCTTTTGTGTGCAGATCATGAAATGTACTAAGCTTCACGGGTATTTGTTGTCCTGAGCGAATCTTGACGCCCAAATTTTTACTGTTTGATACCTTTAGAAAACATTTGTATCTAGTTGCAAGTTAACTCGGCAACATGCGCCATCCCATTGTTTAAGTTTTATTAGGTGATTACAACTCCTATACCCGATTTCGTGGATTCAACGATACCCTAATATCGGGTATTATACCCGATTTCGAGTATTCTCTCCGACCTGTTTAAATGAAAAATCTGAATCGGAAAAACTCGAGTAGAAATGTGAGAAATCAAAACCAACTCACCAGTTTTGTGAGTTTGTGCTCTGTGATGTGTGCAGTGCCTCACAGATTTAACACACTTGTGAAATTTACACTGATTTCAAGCACTGTTATATATGTTCGCGAAAGCATGGGGACACTAAATCTCATCCGTCTGTCCGTCCGTCACTAGATCTTTAACTTTGCCCATAACTTTTGATTAAGTGGAGCCATGACATTTATATTTTACATGTGTATTCCTTGTGACAAGCCCTTTCTTTGGGTACCACCAAAATTTACCTTTTGATCTTGAAGTTTGACTTACTTTTACACAAAAATTCTAGACTTAGACTTTGGCCATAACCCTTGATTGGTAGACACTAGGACTTTTTAATTTCACATATGTATTTATTGTAGCAAGACCTCTAATTGGATACCAAGAATTTTTACATTAACCTTAGAGATTTCCGTAGTTATGAAAAAACTTTAACCTTGACCTTAACTTCCGAACAATAAGAGCTACATAGAGGGCTTTCACACTTCATATATGTAATTTTTGTTAGAAAACCATTTATTTAATACCAAGAACCTTGACCCCTCGAACTTGACCTTGAAGTTTTAAGTACTTTTTGAAAACTTTATACTTGGTCACAACTTTTGAAAGGTAAAACTAGGACTTTCATATTTCACATATGTATTTTTTGTTGCAAGACCTTTCACTGGACACCAACGACTTTGACCATTTCACCTTGACCTTGGAGATTTATGTTCTTATGTAAAAACGTTGACCTTGACAATAACTTTTGAACGGTAAGGGCTAGGGCCTTTGTACATCAAATATGTCATTCTTGAGAAGAACAATTTATTTGGATACCAAGAACTTAGACCCTTTGACCTTGGCCATGGAGTTTGATCTTCTTTTTCTAAAACTTTTACTTTGGCCACAACTTTTGAATGGTAGATAGTAGAACTTTCATTTTTCACATATGTATTTTTTGTAGCAAGACATTTCATTGGATACAAACAACTTTCTCCTTTTGACCTTGGAGATTTCCGTTCTTATGAAAAAACTTTAACCTTGACCATAACTTTTTAATGTTAATGGCTAGGGCTTTTATATTTCACATATGTAATCCTTGTGAGAAGATCTTGCATTGGATACCAAGAACTTTTACCCTTTGACCTTGGCTTTGGAGTTTGACCTACTTTTAAAAATTTTAACCTTGGCCAAACTTTTGAACGGTAAGAAAGGTTTTCATCCTTCACATACATGTATGACAAGACCTTTCTTAATTAAGAAACCAACAACTTAGTCCTTTTCACCTTGGAGATTGACCTAACGTTCAAAAATCTATCCTCGACCATTACTTTTGAACAAGTGGTGCTAGGGATTTTGTATTTCACAATCTTAT